TTCAGAGACTACACACACTATGTCTTTCTTTTCAGTTTTTCCTTTTTCATTATTTGATTTATTCTTCTTGCATTATGGGCAATTATATTTTGTATAGCCTTGTTTTCCACAATTAAAGCAATGCTTACCCTTAGTCTTCTTGAATCCTTTTGAGAATTTAAATTTCTTGTTAAATTTCTTCCCATTAGTATTTTTGAAAAAATTGCCCTTAGGCTTTTCGGCCATTTGGGAAGTTTCAGTTGGTTTGGGAGTAACCATTAAGGATAAAGGTTGGGATTTCTTCCTCTTCGTTTCAACCTCTAATCCTAACAAAGTAGGTAAGTTTTTTATGCTAACTTCTCTTCCAGATAGGTTTAAAGTTGTCACTACAAAATTCCAAGAAGATAGGAGGCTATTAAGAATGGTGGAGACCTGAATTTTCTCAAGAGTATGGTTCCCAGTGGCTGCCAATTCTTTTGCATCACATTCATTTTACTAACATGATCTACTACAGAATCCTCTTCTCCCATTTCACAGCCATAATATTTTTCAATTAACAATTGAACATAGGTTTCAGTTATTTTTCCATATGTTTCTTTAATGGCCTCAAACATGTCTTTAGCATTATTATATTCTTCAAACACAACTTCTATGTCAGKCTCCATAAAAGTTAATAAACAATTTCTTGCCTTCCTATTATCCYTTTCCCATTTTTGATATTCACGAATTACAGTCAAAGAATCATCATCAGCAGGTTTAGCAGGAATAGATTTATCTAAAACATAATCAACATTTTTTTCATCAAGTATCCTTCTAATTCTACGTTTCCAAAGAGCAAAATTGGTGTCATTCAGTTTCTCAGTTTTATTGAGTTCTTGGGATAAGGCAGTAGCAGACATGATTAAAAAAATGCAACAGTATTCCAGAAATAAATAAAGCAAGTGCAATATCAGTTGGTTGTATTTTACGAGACTGCCATTCAAGTTCGGAGAAAAAATAAATGAACGAAGATAGAGCACTTAGTTGTATACGCAAAAATTCCCAATCCGTAGCTGAAGTGGTCAGTTATCAGATTTTCTGTCCAGCTTCCACTGCTCCTATTAGTTCAGGAGTAGATCATGCATTCGGCAATGATGCTTCTATGTGGCTTGGAGTACAAAAATATCCTCAAGAATGACAGTAAGGATCAATGAATACCAAAAAAAATGAACAACAAAAAAAAAAAAGGAGAAATGAATAAACGAAATTCTAATACCCGATTTGAGATGTTTGGGTTCGCCTCATTGGTCGAATATGCCTTTTCAAACCAAATTTGTGTTATAGTGAACGAAAATAGTGAAAAAGTCCTAAATTTATTTAGGGTGTCTTGCCTCACTTCAGATCTAAGCAGCTAACATTTCTGCAATTCTTCGAGCAGTTCTTCGTTCATGTAACTGGAAAAACCCGAACTACCAGTGACGCTTTTGAGGTTGTAGTTAATGCAGGATCGAAGTCGTTGTCGTTAGAAGGCAAAAGGTTAAAAAAACGAACAGGGTTCTGTTGTCTCGGAGTTGCCGGAGCCACTATTTGTTTGGAGATGGGCAGTTGAACAGGGTTTCGAAGACCAGACGAAACCCTCATTGTCGTTCTGTTCTTGCCATGAAGGGTGCACAGATGGGATAGATGAGCAAAGAGGCATAGATGTTGAGAGGAAACCCTCGAAGCGGGTTTGTTTTCTCTCTCCTCTCCTTTGGATCTTAAAAGATGAGACACGATTCGGTGAGGCGCAACTATGCTTTAAGCACTATGCGAGTCCTTGCTGAGCTCTGATACCAATGTTGGTCCAAATGCATGCAGAATCGAACGACTGAGATCTCTGTTTGTCTTACCTGCATGCAAAGAGAATAATAACATCTTCACAGTATAGGATCCAAGACACCAACCTCTTAAACAATATGTAAGAGAGAATAGCTTAATCTGATTAGAGCTAAGGCTGAGAGGATAATTTTCCTTTCTCAGTAAAGAGCCTTATCTCATTGTGTTGAAGCACTTGGAGAGATCCCTTATATGGTTGCTTCTCCAACGTTAAGTTCCTTGACATTAGGAACAAACTGTTAGCAGTATAACCAATTGAGATAAGTGTTCCTTAACATTAGAATTCATGCTCCATCAGATTTGAGACAAGTGTCTCATATTGACCAAGGATATAACCACTTGGTTATCCAGTGTAATGGATATCCATTGACCCAGTGAGAGCTAGAATATGGGTCCAAATAATCCAACCAACATTGGTATCTCCATGTATGRAAAAAGGATTTGAATAAACAATCAAATAAATTTGTTTTTATAGAAAATAAATAAATAAATAGGTAATTATTTAAAAACGAATAATTGTGTGTGAGAGTGTTGCATGGAGATGACCATCAACTATCAACCATCAACATGTGGCTTGTCACATGGCCATTGGATATTCCTACATGTTAAGGATTAAACAAGGGCCTATGGCCACTTCACCATCATTCTTTTATTTATGTTAAGGTCAATCATCCCGTGGCACTTGAATTGAATGAATTCCGGGTTAATTAAAAAAGAAGTTCATCTTTCTATTTTATTTTTTCTTGTGGGGTGGTGCAGAGGGACTATTTCAGAATGCTTCTTTCTCAAATGCAAGCTCTATTTGGTTGACTAAGAACCAAGTTTGATGTTTCAAAGCCATGCTCATGGATTCTTTTCCTCTGTCAGACCATCAAATGTTGATTCCTCTGGCCGACAATGAAACTGCTAATGATAAGGCTGTCATTGGATGTGATTTCTCTTTTGTGAAGCACAAAACACCAGCACATTTGCAGAAGATTGCTTTAATTTCCTCTGACATTTTTAAATTTTAAAATTTAGCTACATCTCCAAGTAACTCACAGCCTTGAAAAGAAAGAAAAGAGATGCTAGGATTTTCCTTTCGCTTTTCCTGAACAATTTTCTCTACTATTAAAATGTTATTTAAAACCAACTTTGTTATAGGGAACCATTAAAAGCCAACTTGAATCCATTGGCCAAAAAATGGAATCGAATTTGACTTACATAAGCAACAAAACAATTCGCATACATGAACCACACAATTATGCTTTTCTTTTCCATCTTACTGATACGGGGAAATCTATCTGAGAGACACATTAAGATTAGCGGGTCTCATTCAATGAATCACATGTTTTCTTCAATAAAACTGCAGCTTCATATGCTCACAGAGAATCATGATCTCTCCATTTTTCCRAAGCACAAACTTACTTTCATATCTCCTCAATACTCGCACAAACTTATGGCCCGTTCTTTTTCGGATTTTGAGAGGGGCAAAGTTAGTCAACAGGATTTTAGTTTTCATTGATTGAGATACCCATGTTATTTTTTTAGATTTATGTGAGGTCTACTTTTTCCATTGTGGGGAAAAAGTCACAACACTTGGATGGTACAAAATTACCCCTTTTAATAATAGTTTTTTATGACTAAATGGGCATTGCCTTATTTACTTGGAAAATAAAAGAACATGAATAAATGCACTTCCCCGAATAAGTGTTTGCTGAAAAATACTTACCCAAGTAAAATGCATTTACCCGGGTAAGTAGCTTCCCATAAAATGAACGGGGCCTTAATGCAACTTAGCAGGTCCCCCTAAAAATTCCATTTTTGCCCCAGGTCCCGTGGAAGGCCCTAAAAGAAGAACAACAAAAAGAATTTAAAGACAATTGAAGTCATGGGAAAACCTGCACATAGAACATAATTCCACAACTTGAAATTTTTAAAGTAGAGAAACAATGATTCCTTTTTTAAGCAGATTTTCTCTCAATAGTGAATACACAATAAACAAAACAGCCTACGGGTCCCTCCTCAGCAAACTATCAAACTAGCGAGGTGGAGGGATGTCTATTGGAAGTAGTCCCATTTGTGAAATAGTTCATTTAGCCAGTTCATGAGCTACTGTTTTAGTTTGTCTTGGTACATACTGAAATTTAAAAGACATTGAAAAATCTCTAGTACTTGATATGATTAATTAAAGATAAAGGGTAAATTGCAAAAGCCTCCCCTAAAGTTTTTGAACGTTGTTAAAACCTCTCCTGAAGTTTGGTAATTGCAAGCACCTCCCCTGAACTTTTTGACGTTTGTTTCTACAGAAAAAAAACAATACAAACTTTATAAACAACAAAATATAGAGAAGGCTCAGTTTAGAAGGAGTACAAATACAAATGTGTAGAGTGCAAAACCTTGTATTTTGTATGTATTTGTGCTGTACATATTTGTATTCGTACTCTTTCCACCAAATGCAGCTGAAGGGAAGTTTTGGAAAATAAATCAATTTCAGAGAAGAGATTGGAAAAGTTTGGATTAACAATTCATATGAAGAGAAGATTTGAAAAATAAACATTTTGGCCAAAACTAACTACATGGGTATTCTAGACATTTTCATGCCTCTTTTTAGAGGATTCTAACAAAGGGAGTCTACTTGCAACTATGCCAAAAGTTCAGAGGAGATGATTGCAATTACCAAACTTCAGGGGAGGTTTCAGCAATTTACCCAAAGATAAAAGATCCCACAAGATGTTAGGAGTGCCTAATTTATCTCCACTGTCTATCTAGTAAGATAGTTTTTTGTTCTTGATAGTGTGTCTTTCCATTGCCCCCAGCATGTTTGCAGGGTAAAAGATCCAAAAGCTGCATACACTTGCTGCTTCCTAGAATTTCTCTTAATAAAAATAGAAATGGGTTAATCTCTTTCAAATCATAAATGACTTGATTCCAATATATTTTATTAATAATTGCTTTTTTGGTGGCTCCAACCTTGGCAGTCACTCATCTCACTAACAATGGAAGAGAATATTGTTTCAATTTATCCATTTCCTAAGTTGGAACTTTCCAGTCTCCAAGTGGGAAATTGTTCAAAAGGAACATGATGCCAACAGTATACGAGAATAATCAAATCCTGGCCCATCATTATATATTTATATATGTACCTTTTGCTCCTCTCTATTCATGTATTGGAGCAGTGGTGGCAGGAAGTTACATTTAAAGAGCAATGGCATTCAAGGCATGTGAAATTGGTGCACGTTACAGGAAGTTCAAGCCACACCTCCTCATTGTTCTGATTCAGATAGCTTACACATTCCTCTACTTCATAGCAGAAGCTGCATTCAATCATGGATTGAATCCTCATGTTTTTGTGACTTATCGACATATTGTAGCTAGTTTAGTGATGTTGCCTTTTGCATATTTTCTTGAAAGGTGCACCAGTATCTATGTTTGCATTTGAATTTATTTACATGATTTGCCATATTGAAAATCTTCTCCTCACTGAAGCAAATCCAATTGGATAAACAGAAGAAGTAGGTGCAAAGATAAGAACACTTATATGGGCACTAATAACATTTGATGTTTGTCTATTTACTTGGTTCCTGCAGAAAAATAAGACCAAAGCTGACATTTGCATTGTTTATTGAGATATTTCTGCTGTCTCTCATAGGGTAAGTAATGTTGAAGAGAAATGCAATTGCATTCAGTAACAACTGAATAGGTTTAACAACGTTTGATTTGTGAATACAGGATAGGTTTAACCCTGAACATGTATTTTGCAAGCTTGAGATATACCTCCCCAACATTCATTGCATCCATGATCAACACTATTGCTTCCATAACCTTTATAATTGCAGTTATATTCAGGTTAGAGTCATCTTGAGTTAATCCAGAAAATCATCTCCCTTTGGTCTCTGATCTCCCTGCATTTAATTAGTCAAGTTATTACCATGTAAAATATTAGGAACTTAATGAATGGAGGTGATGTAGGTTGGAGGTTCTTGATGTAACCAACCCCCGTGGAATAGCAAAAATTCTTGGGACCTTGCTTTCCTTGGCTGGAGCCATGACCATGACATTGTACAAGGGACCTGCACTGAGAAATATTTCAGGTGCTTTAATCCATGTTGGAACAAACACCGTCCATGAAAACTGGCTGAAGGGTTCCATTCTTACTGCCGTGAGCTGCATAACATGGTCATCATGGTACATCATGCAGGTAAACATTCACCATTAACCTCTGCTGGACAAATATTTGTAAAGACAGTTCTTCATGGATCTTCAGAAAAAGTTAGTAACAGAAAACTAAGCAAGTCATTGTTCAAGAGTCGATGAATGAGAATTCTCCCATAGCTGCCTGATGAATATATAACCGTGCATACATATGTGATATTTGATATGTTTTCTTGAATATATATATATTGTAGGCATTCACATTGAAGAGATATCCAGCACAACTTTCACTAACCACATGGATGTGCTTTATTGGGGGAGCACAATCAGCTGTCTTCACAGTGTTCACAGAACATAAACCCACAGCATGGAGCATTGGATTCAATATTGAATTTTGGGCCATCATCTATGCTGTAAGAAAGGAATCTAGTCAATCTACACAGTCGATCTACAATATCCAAAGAAAAATTTTAAAACTCAGAAGAATTCTAAATTATGATGTATTGCAGGGAGTGGTATGCTCTGGTTTCATAATCTTCCTTCAACTATGGTGCACCAAACAGAAAGGACCAGTATTTGTAACCATGTTTAATCCCCTAGGAACCATGTTGGTGGCATTTGCAGCTTACTTTGTTCTGGGTGAAAAGTTGCATATTGGCAGGTAAATTTGACGTTGGTGGTATATTGGGCAAACAGTAGTATCCATGCTTGTGCATCTAAAGATTTCTGGGTTTTGTTTGTGGACTATGTTTAGGGTACTGGGAGGGCTTACGGTCATTATCGGCCTCTACTTGTTACTATGGGGCAAGGAAGTGGACCAAAAATTCAGCACCGAGTCCCAGGAGCTCTCTTATGAAAAAGGAAAAGAACACAAGATAGAAGAAGTAATTACTTCAGTAGATGCTTCCAAAGAGCCCTAGGATATCTAAACTCTCAACAGATTTGCAATGATAAATGAATCACAACGAATAGCATCAGCAATTCGTATGTGTTTCATGTCGAATAAGTGGAAATGAACAAAATCCAATTTCATGTGTCTCATGTTTTAGCTTTTTCTTAGCATCCCCCCACCCACCTTTTTTTTCTCAGATTCTGCTTCCAGGCTAATTGCAAGAATTTTGTACAAAGACTAGTCTTCAAACGTTTGAATATGCGACATCCTAGAAGCTACTGAGCTTTTACTCCATACAGATGTATATCATCTCATGCTAAAACTTGTTTCCCTGTTTTAGCACCCACACCACCCTATAAAAATGAAAATGCCTAGCCAATTAAACCACCCTGCTTATGAAATTAGAACTACATTGGTTGATATTGGGAGATAAAATCAGAACTACCAGCCTGGACAATGGATGATGGGCTACGTCATGTCAGTAATAGAGGATGTAGTCAAAAAGGATGATCTAAATACTAAATGGTGTGGTTCGGACAAGTTCATACCTGACAAAATTGAACCTCTCTATATAATATAAAATGAGGTCAATGAAAAACTATATCCCATTATCAATGGTTGCCTGTACCTACTAGGATTAATCCCATAAAAGTCACTAAAGATAAACCCATCAAGCAGCTTTTGGAACATTAGCCGTAGAATCGTTGGTTATGTTTATAGATATTGACGAGACCATACACCACCTTCCCATTATTCTGCTAAATGAAGCCACGCCTTGTGCCAGCAGGAGGTACTTGTGGATAAGGTTAGGTTAGGTTAGGTGAATAGTACATTCCTTTCCCACTGAGTTTACATCCAGAAACCCATTTCCAAAACCTGAACATTTAAACATTACAACCTAAAACTCCCTGCAAATCAAAAAACATTGTTCTTTTGCATTCATTACAAAGGTTAGACAAATGATCAATTTTACTGAAGAAACAAATACCAGTTGACTGACTTCTGTAGTCAACTCCACCAAAGATTGCAGCTTACCAATCTAAAAACAAGCAAACTAGCAAGAGATATATACAGGGTAAACGTGCTGCAGTTTTGAAATGTTAGCATAATCAAGCATCTGGAAATGATGTAAGCAATAATTGTCCAATTAAGCCACAGGAGGCCTGAGCACATGATCTTGGGATGTGTCAAGGACAACTGGGGGAATCCATTGCCACATGGGGAAGCCACCATAGCTTGGATAGGCCATCAACTTATTTGCTCCAGTATGATATGTTGCAGGTAGTGGTGGCACAAAACCAGCAGGCAACAAGCTCATGGCTTTGACCTGTTGCTCCATCTTTTCTTTATCTGCCTTCAGTTGGAGTTTCTCTTCACGAAGTTCATTCTTCTCTGCCTGCAATTATAGAGGCAAAGGGGATGAAGAAAAAAATAAAAGAACTCTAGAAGAAATGCCTGAAAGTGATGCAACAGTTGGATCTTGGTGAAAGCTGTACTGGCATCACCCAAAAGGTATTACAATTGTATACTGTTATAAGGATGATTAGAATAATTCAGCTTGTTTAATGAAAAGCCATTAATTCTACTCTGGGCCAGGCAGAACATGGAAATTCTTTATGGGTAGAGATGCTGGCATTACTTCATGATTTAAGACTTATAAATATAAATGGTTTGAGGCAAGGTTCAAAGTATCGATACGTACGGTCCGTAATGGTTGATACGTATCGTATCAGGGGCTTCCAGATATGCCCCTAAGGGGGTGTTTCGGGGTCTCGACCGGTTCAGAGGGTAGACGGACTTTAAACCGGCCCCTCTGAACCAGATTCAGAAAAACTAAAAAAAATAAAAAAATAAAAAGCTATCGATACTGCCTGATATGCCACTACCGGCGTGTCAGGCGTATCAATATTTTGAACCTTGGTTTGAGGGAAGTAGAGGTAGGAGATTGCCAATCTGTTATTTTTTGGATGAAGAAGCAAGAGGAGTTGAGGAGGTTCCTTAAAAAGTTCTGCCCTTCAGTAATACTTGCACAAAATCTAGATGCCAATTTGAACATCTTCAAATGGATACCTAGAAGTGCAAATGTGATTGCAGATAAATTGTCAAAGACAGGTGCTGTTAGGGATCAAATAGATTGGGGTTCTCCGGGGCCAGCTATGAATTTGTAACTCTTAATTGTGGACTTTCTTTTGTAATATGATTTTGTATCTCTCTAGGCCTACTGTCTTATTTATGGGGCAGTTAGGAGTTTTGATTAATGAATTTTCTATTACTTATCAAAGAAACAAAAAAAAGAACAGCTATTTATTCAAATAATACAGAATTGTATAACATATTTGAACTAAATCTTCACTACTATATGAAAATATGCCATTGGTTGAGCATGACTATATTAATTTTATTAAAATAAAAGATGGCATTATTTGGTTCTTTTCGTAGGGCTAGGAGCTTGCATCAAGCATTGGATGATTGCATGGATGTGAATCTTTCTGTTGGCTTTCCCTCATTCGTGAATAAGAATTCAAGGGCATGGAGACAGTGAGAACAGGGTGCAATTTAGTGCCTTACAAGTAACAAGTTTATATAGTTCATCCAGTTTTTCAAGTACTATTTCGTTTTTTTTTATAAGTATGATTATGGTAATACAGTGTTGGTAAATATATACCTTTCAGGGATGATTTATCTGATATAAAGTATATGGAGATGCAAAATAATAATAATAATAATAATACCTTCAAATTTTTTATGACTTCCCGAAGCTTTTCACTCGCATCTTTAAGTTCCTGAGCTTCTGTTCTTAGCTGATTCAAAACACGAATGGCATCACTGACTATGGCAGATTTATCAGTCTTAGCAGGTCTCCCTGGCTCCAAAACAGAGCTCAAATCTAAAAATCTGCATGAAGCAGAGGCAAAATAATTCATTAATTGATATAGGTCAATCACTTACCATTATTTCAAGTGAATAGATGAAATAACATTGAAGAATTTCATAAACACAGCAGATTGTCATTTTAATTGAAGCATTGCACAAACAACCTTTCATTAGACTCAAAGTGGGGAACGGAAATAAAGTAAAATTTTGGAAAGATCTCTGGTGGGGGGATTCCACTCTAGCTGAATCATTCCCTAGAATCTTTAATCTCTCCTCAAATCAAGACTCAACTGTCTCCTCATGCATTCCAGCCTTACCTGCCAACACCAACTTGACTCTGAACCTGAGAAGACCTTTAAAGGAAAGTGAGATCTCAGACCTTTTAAACCTCTTCCTTACCCTAAAAGAAGTTTATCTCTCCCCTCATTCCTCTGATACCCGAATCTGGACTCTAACCCCAAATGGTGTGTTCTCTTCCAAATCTTTGTTTAAGGCTCTTCTAGCAGGTGAGCAGACTTCTTCTTTCCCTTCTAGAAGGATCTGGAGCAGTCATATTCCTCTAAGAATATGTTTTTTTTTATTTGAGAAGCATGTCTGCAGAGAATAAACACATGTGATCTTCAGAAGAAAAGTCAGAGAAGGTTTTACATCTCTCCACATGTTTGCGTGCTTTGCCTAAGAGAAGGGGAATCAGCAGATCATCTATTCATTCATTGCAGTTTTGCTCAAAAAATATGGTAGCACTTCTTAAACCTAGTTGGTCACAGTTGGGTGTCCCCCAATCGTATTCAGGAGTTCCTCAACCAATGGGATGGGTCAGGTTTGAGTAGAAGAGCAAAAGTGTATTGGCAAACTGTGGTTCATGCAGTCATGTGGGGAATTTGGGAGGAAAGAAACAGGCATATTTTTGAAAACAGATCTAAACCTCTAGAGGATCTAATTGCAGACATCTTCTTCTGTTGTAACTCATGGGCAGTTAACACGGAGATGTTTCAAGACCTATCACTTAATGACCTTAACAGAAATATCCATTCGATTTTACTTCTCCCAAATCAAGCTCATCCAATCAAAAGTCTTCAACTCCCTCATCTTGAAGCTGGGATGATTTTAAACTTTGATGGGAGTGCTGCAGGCAATCCGGGCAAAGCTGGGATAGATGGAATCCTGAGGGATGAACAGGGTCTGATTTGTTGGGTGTTTAGTGGTCCTCTAGGTATTACAGACTCAACAAAGGCTGAAGTGATGGCATCCCTCACTGGTATCAGAATAATAAAAAACCTGGGCATTCAGAAATTATCCATAGTAGGAGATTCAGCCAATACCATCAAATGGCTGAAGGAGGGGGGCCCATGGAGGTTGAGTCACTACCTGTCAGAGGCTAGAGACACTCTGGAACATTTGAGTGTTAATCTGCAGTGGATCCCAAGGGAAATGAATCATATTGTAGATGGTTTAGCTAAATTGGGAGCAAATCTAGAAAACTTATACAGCAACAAGCTCCCCCCCTTGTAATTTTGCTTTTCTGCTGCTCTCTCATCTAGTACATCTGCTCATGTACTTTTGTCTATTTCAATGAATTCTGGTTAAATTTCTCTAAAAAAAAAAGAAATTTGCTCAAAAAAATAGGAAAAAGAAGAAGAAAATTGGATGGAACTTTATTAATATGAGATGGCTTACAATACGAGGCAACAAGGTTGGAGACTCACTCACCCAAGAGAGGACTCTCTCAACTCTCAAAGAAAAATCTCTAAGCTTCTCAAACAAAGGGAATAACTTGATGCCTCTAGCTTGAGCTTACAAGGCTTTATATAGAGAATAAAAATTAGTTGTTGAAACATTTAAATAAAACTAGTCGTTATAAACCCACTAACAAACTAGCTGTTAGAAGTCAGTCCACTAACAAACTAGCTGTTAGAAACCCACTAACCAAAATGGCTATTGGAAGCCCATTAGTGAGTTSAAATGTAGGTCATCTTGTCTTCTCCTTTTAAAATGATATGGTGCTTCATAGGGCATGAACTTGAACTGCATCAATGTTCATCCTAGGTAAAATTAGAGACAGGCTGATAAGTGATTCTTCTTTCTTTTCATTCTTCAAGAAGAGTTTATATCTGTTAGAGTTAGCCGAATAAGGGTAGATTAGTCAACTCACCTTGGTTAAGTTATGAGCTTATGTGGCAGTGTTATTAGAGGTTCTCTGTCCCATACTTAAGTAGGGGCAGTTTAGTCCTTTTACATTTAATTAGAGCCTAATCACTATTAAGAGGTCGACTGATAGGGTTTAGCCATCAGGTTCAATAGTTCTTTCCTCTTCTTCTTCTTCTTCTTCTCTTTCTTCTTCTCCTTACTGGTTCGGACTACTGTAGCAACAGTAGAAACATGGTATCAGAGCCAGGTTCGTGACCTATTTCAATTCGTGACAATTTCAGTTCGTGCTTCAGTTCTCTCCTTTTCTTCTCTGGGCTGTCAATGAAGAAAAGTGGTTCGTCCCAGGCCTGAAACATCTCAGCTCTTTTTTTTTTCTGGTGCGCAGAACCTCCTTTCCTAAGAAAACAACTTCAGCAGTGAATGGTTGGCTGAAGCTCTCAAACAAAGGTTGGTTATCTCTTCTCTTTGTGCTGTTGGTATTTCTGGGTTGAAAATCTTCAAGAACTTGAGAGGACTGATC